TAGTGTGTTGTTTTGTTTTTTTTTTTTTTTTTTTTTTTTTTTTTTTTTTAGAGTTGTTATGAGGAGAGTGTGTGGATAAAGGAATCCATAAACAGAGAATTGCGTACTTGTTCACTGTGTTGTTCTTTGACAGATGGTGGCTGGTTCCCCTCATCCGACGGGAGCAGGTTAGCATTTCACTTTAGCTTAATAAGCAGGTGTTTAAGAAAACAAGAGTTAGTCACTGGCGTTGCTCAGGCTGCGTCCTGGGATCTGTAGAGATCACGTTTCCTCTCCAAGCCGTACGTTTCCTGTCCACATTTTCAGGCCTCACTGAAGTACACCTTATTTGATGACCACTTTCACAAGAGAGAGCACTGTCCCAGGAAGTAAAGCTGCAGAGAGGAGCCTGGTGTCTCACCGGCCTAGCACCTCCCGTGACGGTGTTCACACCAGGGCAGATGCTGCCACTTTTTGATGTAATTGTTTGAGGTTCGTCAAGAAATAAAATCATAGATGGTAGCAGATCCATGAGTACTAAGGTCTACCCTGTACCCACATCTTCAGAAAACATTTTCCTTCTTTGCTCTGTGCATATCTTTTTTATTTGCTGTGCCCTTGAAAATAAATTGCAGACAATATAAGATTTCAGCTCTAAAGACTTTCATGTATATCTTAAAAGAAATTATTTTGTTTTGTGGAGATGGGGTCTCACTAGGTATTCCAGAATGGCCTTGAATTTACTCTTTCACCCAGGCTGGCCTCAGACTCAAGGGGACTGTCCTGCCTCAGCTTCCTGAGTGCTGGGCAGTTCTTTATAAGATGGCTATTCTCTGCCCAAAACAATTAGAAACTTCCTCATCCCATCTAATAGCCAATCTATATTCAAGTTTTCTCTACTTGTCATGAAATTGATTTTAGACTGTTTTCTTTGTAGGGCTTCTTATTTTGTTTTGTTTTCCCAAACAAAAGTCAAATGACACTGACACTTGACGGCTGCATGTCTTTGATATATTTTAGTCTGTAACAATTCCCTCACTTTGTTTTATTATGCCTGTGTTTTATGATGTTAAGGCTCTAGTCCCATTCTCCTGAGTGGCGTCCCAGGTCTGGGTTTGTCTGAACCCCCTCTGTGTGTTGTTTATCTTGTGTGTGTTGCCTGAAGTGAGCACTGTGTTATCTATCGTGTTACTGTATCCCTTGTGCTTTGGAACACTGGACGTTGGTCCCAAAGACTTGATTAGGAAAGGTTATATTTTTGTCTAGACCAGCTTTGCAGGTGCTGATGTGTGTCTGGTGTCAGGAGGCACACGTGAGTCCCTCCTTTATTAGCACCGCTGTTTGTCGCTTATGATGGTGATGACCAGGCCTTTCACGTTACGTTTTCTTTTCTCTCTCTCCTTTGACAGTGAGAGCTAATTTGTGGAATTATTCTTTGGGTCGTCTAAATACCTTTTCCCAATCTTTCATCTAGTGGTTTTAGCCTCCATTGACGAGCCATGTACCAATCATTTATCCCAACAGAGATTGCCAAATGATGATGTTTAAATGTATTGTTCCCTTTACATTTATTAACTAACAATCCTCAGTAGTGAGGGCCTTCTCTCATCAGCAGGGGAAGTGCTGTGTCTTGCTACAGTTCGTATGCTTGCTATTCGGGCCGTGGAGCTGAGGTGTAAGTTAATCATGGTTTATGTTCTGTTTGCGCACTGTTAAGCATATTGTAGTGCGCTGCAATTGAAATGGAAAATGTTTAAAGTGGTGGCAGTGTAAGAGGCTCTCCGAGGACCGCACGGACCCAGAAGAGCTAGTCACGCCCTCGGACGGCTTCCGAGAAGAGGGGCATGGGTTCGGGTCTCGGCTGTCACCTCCGCCCTGCCTTGCAGCGCTGCAGGCCCGACCCGGCTCGGATGCGCGCACCTTCCTTCCCTCTTCTGGGTCCCAGCCTCCGCATTCCACACGCAGCTCCCGACCCCTGCCTGGGCCTCATCGCTGCTGACCGCAGCTCCTACCTCTGTCCTCTCACGGCGGCTTCGAACGTGACCGTCACCACCACCCTGCCCGGGACCCTGCGGATCGACTGTCTGCGGCCCAGAGTTAGAGGTCACCTCACGCGGTACTGCCGGCCCCTCCGCTCCCGAGTCCTCTGAAGGTCACCGAAGACGTGGCGCTCCCGTGGGCGGCCTCTGCTTTGCGCGGCTTTCTCTGCCTTCCGGTATCTCTCAGGTGACAAAAGCAGATTTTCTGTGAAAACTAGGGCTAGAATTTGAGCGTTTCTCGCCGTCTGCTCTGTGTAAATAGTCCCAAGGTCTAAGTCTTTTACTGTGGCAAAAACAAACAGGAAAAAAAGGTAGGTATACATGAATTTGGCATTTAAATATCGCGATTAAAACAAAGTGAAAGGCATAAATTAGCCTGGCATTTGATACTACAATAAAAACAAAGCGCATTCTGTTTTCCTTAGGTTGAATTTCTTTTTCTGATGTCCACGACTTGAACAGTTTTGAGTGGAAGTGAAACACGGTGTCTCGCGCTGCTCACAAATTTTTGTATCGCCGCCCTAGGCGTGGTTTCCGTGCCTTCCCCGGCCTCCGCCCGGAGCAGTGCGCCCGGCCTCGCTCCGGACCA